CGGCGCGCGGTTCTACCTGCGATCGATAGTCTACAAGAGAGCCGAAACGATTCTCGCCGCAGCGATATATGCGGGCAATGTGACGATATGTCATGGCAAAATAATTTTCACAAAATCAAATTAGCATCGCAGAGTCCTTCATTGTCTATGAAAGAAAGACAAAGGCACACTACTGAAAAATGAGAAATTTGTTTCTATTAGTTTGTCGAACAATGCGTAAGTAATTATGGATTTTACACAATAGAGAAAATAGTCAAAGTACATGTTGCAGACACGGCGAAAAATTTTTAGTTAATTTGTCACATAAAATAGTAATTTTATTACAATAAAGGATCCATATATCCTATTATTATTTAAATAACAATTTCAGAAAGCGATAAAAATGTAGATGAAAACAAAAGACAATCCAGAATATTTCGATTTAAAAGAAACATTTAAAGAAGTTGCATCAGGACGCGCGTTCGGTATATCGAACGATGCACGAAGCCACTTGATGAGATCAAGGTCGACAAGACCGCAGAGTTCTGCGGCTGACAAAAAAACCTTAAATATCAAAAAATTGCAAGGAAGAAGATAACGAAGAGATATTCATTGAGGAATCGTGAATATCCCAACAACATCTGATAAAGAACTTAACATAGAGGACAGATTTCAGATTGGATCTATTGAGAATTATCACACAAGCAATACGATTGCTATTTTGCTCGATTTCTGAATCTTGTTTTGCTAGGTCCAGTCGATTGAGTTGGAAAAGTCAATCGCGATCTTATGCAGAAAGTGTGGCATTAAGCGTGACCTCGGCCTATGAGCTGCACAAAACTATATACCTCTGTGTTTCACAATGACGCACGATGAAGAATATATGTAGTTAGCACCGATTTTCATGATTCAGGTAGTATCTTAACATTTAACGATAGTGGACACATGGTGGACTGTCCCTTTAGACATATTTTCTAGACCTTACTTCGGCTAATAAAATTTTGCATTTTAAAATAATTTTAAAAACAATAAAATATATCATAAAATATTAAATTATAGCTTAAGTTTTATTGTAAAACAAATTTATTTCTTTAAAAATCAAGATGTTTTTAATGAAAAAAGAATGATGGACAACTGAAAAATATTACATTCATAAAATGATAAATCTGGTCCTCGCAGTCAAATATCTTGTTATTGTTAATTGTTTAAATAGGTTGAATCCGTTAATGCTAATTTTAGTCAACTTTGTTTTCCGTTATAAACGAAGAATCTAAAAGAGATGTAGCAATCCGTTGTCTCAAAATTAGTTAACCCAAATTATTAATGCAGCGCAGTCTGTGAACGATTTCCACATTGCGATATACATTCCTAGCTAAGATAATAAATTATTCTCTATTACAGAATTAAGTTGTATAATTTTTTAATATTTCATACAATAAGTGCTATTAATTTACATGATTTCCAAATTTCCTTATTTATAGATTGCTTGTACGTATGTATTTTTAGAAATTGCTTGTAATTTAGAATAGTTTCTCTAATCAATTAAAATATTTTATTTGAAATTATTAATAAGTATTATAAGATATTGAATAAATACATTATAAAATAAAAAAAAATGACGTAGAGCAAGAATTATATGACCGTGAAGAAGCGGCTAGCTTTTACGTTTGAAATCATAGCAAAAAGAAGCATGCAATATCCGGTCCTACGTGATCTTAGCACGTTCACGTAAGCATCCGCTTACGGTCAAGAAACAGTTATATTTTTATACCGCTGTGCTCAGTCACGAAACTAGGTCGTTACCGGAAACAATAATTATCGCGACGAATGAGGCTGTCTACAATCGTCATAAAAATAGATATTAAGCAAAAGGCAATTTTTTAATAACAATTTTATGGATTCTAGTTGAATTAATGAGAATTTGTAGAGAAGTTCGTGACAGAGCACGGTCGCAACGTTAAATAAATACACGCATTATACAAAGTTGACAGGTGGTATTTTTTGATGCTGACATTAAACTTATCACAAGTACGTATCTGATTTCGTGATAATTTACCGTTTTTATGAAGAATAAAACGAGGTCGAAGATTCTTAAATTTATAAAAAGTTTCTCTTACGTGAATACGTTCCGAGAACTCAACCGAGCGGTACGATCAATAATCGTCGATAACAAAAATAAAAAATTAAGAATATGACATACAATGTATTCAATGTAGCACTGAAATGATTATTTGCTTTGCCTAGAAAATTATCCAATATAACAAGAAATCTTCCAAACTATGAATAAAATTTTAACATTTTTATTGTTCATGTTATGTCAATATCCATTAAAATTTATTAAAAAAATTATTTGAAATCTCCGATTCCATTTTAATGTTAATAATATTAATACCGATTGAATCGATTATTATCTATATTTTAAATTATTCGTAAAACCAATAATATTCATCTTATAATAGCCAGTAATATTCACTTGAAAGATACATTGAGATCAAACATATCAGTTCTAAAATCATCGATGCTCTATTAAAATGTCATTTAAGATTTTTTAGTAATAAAAATTACTATTTTGGATACTGGTTTGAAACAAAAGAGTACTACTTTAAATGTTTTTAGCCATAATGAATTTCTTCATTATTGTTGATAATAGTTAATTAAATCAATAGCTAGTTTAGTGAAAAACATATGGAAAGAACCGGCGAAGAAATTCTACCGGTATCCAATAATTCAATGAATGTGAAAATATAACCGGCTGAATAATCTTGGTAAGCCAAATCTCGCGCGTGGCTGAAACGTGTTGCGTAAATCTACACGTGTGGGTAAATGTCATCTATTCGACATATATGCGAATCGCGGGATTCGCGAGATTCAAGACTCGCGCGAAGAGGTACGAGACAGAGAAATACCTGTCGACGGAGGGCGCGTTCATACCGGAATCGATAACAGCGTGGAGGGCAGCGCGCCGCGGAGAGGATAGGATGCAAGCCGACGACGATCGCGCGATTCACGTCGCAGGTAAATGGGTCGCGACATGAGGCACGCACGCACGAGCGAGCGTTCGCCACGACTCGATAGTCGGCGCCGATTTTCGCGCGACCATCGAGATTTAGCGTGACTGGTTTTTCACACTTCTCAAGCCTTCGACATGACCGCAAACCGCGCTTTGTCATCACTCTCTCCGGAATGATTACTTGATTCGCGACTCACCTGTATACACCTGTACGTCTAACAGCGCCGTTCTCCGGAAACAGTGTCCAATATCGGCAGGCGCGAAAAGTATCCCGGTCTCTGACACTCACGGCTGTCAAACTGTGCGCACGCGATACGCACTACGCGTGTAAGGAAGAGGGAGGGAGGTGAGGCAGAAGAAGGTCGGTGATAAGGACCAAAGAAGAATAAGAAGGATCGAGAAAGCGATGCGAGGAGGAAGAAACTGGAGTGGACAAGAAGAGATAGCGGGAGATAGAGGCGAGATCGCGGGCAAAATGCGTATGTAAGCAGGACAGTAATTGTCTCGCCGGAGTTTCTTCGATAAGACAGTCGACTCTTGTCACAAGGGCGCGACGAGAGCCCGAGGAGAGCACACGGCACGCGCGGCTCTCTATCGCGGCGGCATTTTCACTGAGGAAACGGCGGCGAGGAAGCAAGAGAGCTCTTCGCGGCGAGACCCCCCCAGTCGGAGCCCCGTTTTCGTAAACGCTTGGACGCTGCGCATATCGGGAGCGACCGGAGGACACGCATGCGCTTCCATTCACGATGAACGAGCGCGAGCGCGAAGGCTTATCAGCTAGAGCGTCACGGTGCGGGGGTGCGGAGCGCATTTGTTTCCCCTACCACCCTCTCCGCTGATCGTGAGAGAGAAAAAGAGATGAGGTTTTGAGGGCATTAAGAAAGGAGAACGTGAGCGCAGCAGGAATGAAATTAGAATAGAATTCTAGAATACTCTGACAATGAATTTTGTGTAAAATATTGAATGATGAAGAATATGGATTGAGAAGTCATTTTCTTATGAGAGAATTTTTTGAGATAATGGATTTGGTGGAGAATGAAATTGAAAATTATTTTTATTGGAAAGAGTGAGAAAAGGATTCCTGAAAAATCTTAGAAGAAAAGCGCGAATAAAACAGAAATACTAAATTTATTTCTTTTGGGTTGCAAGCGTATTAATTCTTACATGAAATCTTTTAAAGCAATATATATTGAATTAAATTAAATTAAATTTATTTGATTCTTTTAATATACTTTTAATATTATATGAAAAGGGAAGAAGAAGGCTTTGAGAATATTTCAAAGTAAGGAGGTTGACAAGAAGGGATTTGATCTCTTTCAATTGATTATTGATTCTCTTTTCTGAACAAGGAAATTCAAACAATCCAACATCTATAAGATATCTAATTCTATTTTATCAAACGTTTTATAAGCCTTAAAAAGTTTTTAAAATGAAGAGGTGAGGAAACGTAATAAAATATAAAAGATAATTAATGATAAAATTCTATTATCTTATTTTTTTAGAAATTATTTAGAAATTGAGCTAATATACATCGCAAAGAAAGGAAAATTAGATATTGCGAAACACTACAATGCACTTTTATAATCTACTCTTACTATTCTTAAAGAAAGACATTATTATTACGAATCTTTCTTTATCAGCTTACTTTGTTCTCGAGAAACTGAACTAACAACGGCTATTCAGTACTTATCTTGATATTTCATTGTAGAAGAAAATGATATGGCTTTGGTGCAACAAAGAAAGAATCAGGAAAAAGAACATTTAGAATTATTGTAAGTGTGGATTTGAAAAGAATCCACACTTGCAGAAAAAAGAAAGAAGGATTTTGTTCGAAGATTTACCTTAAATTATCCATTTGCTTCCGTCATTGTTGATACTAGAGAATATTAATATTAGAAAATTGCGAAATTAACGGAAATAATGAGAACAATTTACATCAAAGAATTTACTAAATTTGATATCTTCTTCATAACATTATAATTATGAAAAATATGTCATATTATCAGTACAATTACATATGAAATAGATCTTTGTTGATTTAAAATAAATGGATGTATTATAAACTGCCAGCTGTATTATCCGCTTTTACGCATCGCTTTAAAAACACAACAGATGTATTGTAAATATGTGTGCACCCTAAATTGGATCGGGTACGGGAATCTTTGGCATGTGACCTTCCATCATATCATTCAGCAGTACACTAATTTCCTGATAGAAAAGTCCATTTGTATTGTATATAACGTTAAAAATTATAATTAATTTTTTAAATGAGAGAGAAAGAGAATTCGTTTCTGAATTTAATTACTAGGCAAGTAATAAAGAATTAAACGTGCGTACCTCTTCTCGCTGTGTTCTAAGTCTGTCAATGATGGGCTCGTTAAAATTAGGATCGTTGCTGGGGTCCTCCAAAGTACTTTCATCGCTTCTCGACACTTGCGGTATACGGGAGATGTAAATCTGTTTGATAGTGTCTAAAATTGCCGATGGTCTGGTTTGGGGGAATTGCAAATCGATCCGTCCAAACGAATCCACGCCCGCTGGCATCATTAATGGTTTCTCATAATCTGTACATCTTTCGTCCCTTATGTTTCATTCGACACAAAGATACAATATAGAGATTTATGATAAGTATAATTTATAAAATATAAATCAGCTGAATAAACT